GATGTAGGACTGTGCACCTGTAGTTCGCCAGTATGGTAGCCTAACAGTGTCTCTCGCACCCGCCCACGGCACACCTGCCCACAAGGTCATCACAATCCACCCCCTTTGGAGGCCCGACGTCCCTGTCGGCACACTTCCAGCTGGGTCAGGCTCTGATACCATTTGTAACCACCCGTTCCACCACATGGTATGATATTGTCCGCTTTGGGCCTGAGCCCGCACGGTTTTGCTCTTGGGCTTCACCCCAAAAGGCCTCATACCAATTGGAGGTGACACACTTACATATAAGCACTTCACCTTTCCTCTACCCAGGCGATGTGGGACTGTGCACCCGTAACTCTCCAATGTGGTAGCCTGACAGTGTCTCTCGTACCCACCCACGACACACCCGCCCACAAGGTCATCACAAATGATCACAAAAATATAAGTTCCAAAACATCATCTAACTCATTAAAACACATATAATCATCAAAAATAATTCATTGATTCATCATTTAAAAACTAAAAATCTCCCATAATCTATTACATACATACCCAAAAGAATACTCATTGTCCGAAAGAATAAGTTTACAAAATAATAAGGCCTCCATGACCATGAGTACAAAAGCTTCACTCGAAGCTAACAAAAGAATAAAGTTAAATTACATGATTCAATTGTTTATGTAATTACATTCCAAAAGATAACAAAATACATCAACAACTCCTAAGCTTGCGGGGTTGCTCTTTCTACAATTTCCTTTCCATGTTATGAAAATGTTAAAAAAAGGGGTGAGTACAACAACTCAGTAGAAAATGCCTAAAGTATTGGCTCTGAGCTCCCTTGAGTCAACAAGCAAAGAATAGATAAGGGAAATCGGGATCATACACAGGAACACTAAGAAAATCATAATCAGTACAAGTATGCCAACATGCTATGAAATATAATGCTTTCTCGATCATAATTCCGGCCCAACACAACACACACCGAAAATCACTAATCGACTTTACCAAGGCGAGATTGATTAGCTATCTCTAACTCCAAAACCGGCAGCCATTTAGGGCCTAGTAATCAATGTTACACGTCCAAACTCGGCACGTGCTCCCTCTAGGTCGAATTAGCCCCAGACTCGCGAAATTCGGTTTCTTTCATGAAACCACTTTTCACAACCTTTCCTAAACACGTTCTTTAAAAACCATTTTGACCTCAATCCCCTAATCATGCTCACACCATGAATAAAATCATGCATCATAGAGATCAATATTTTTATGCTTGCAATTTCTAATTACTTAACGGAACATGTTTATCATCATCATCATCTTGCACATATATATTCAATAAGAATATATTTCACAATTAATCATGCTTTCAACATCATAGCAACCAAGATGCACATATAATTCACGTCATCTTTAGACATGCTCTTTCTACTTAACATACAACATCATTTCAACTTATAACAATCACCATTTTTTAACAAGTATGGCATGGAATCAAGTCAAGAAACTCAAATAGAAGTCAAAACTTAATACTTTAACTATCCTTACCTCAAAGATGAACCCAAGACTCCTAGATCCCAAGCTCGAAAACCACCCAATGGAAGGAAGATCAGTATCAAATCGTAGCCCTTGAAGAGCATAACCAACTTCCATTCTTGCACTTTGCCTAGATCTTAACCCAACTAGATCAAATCTTAGAGAGAAGATATAGTTTTAGAGAGAGAAAGAAAAATGAAGGGAGAGCAAGAGGACCGAAAATGCGGGAGAGAGAATGTGGTTAGTGGTTAAGCCTTGGTCCACTTGACTCTATCCTCTTCTAAAATGAGTGGCTTAAAATGGGTCAAAGTCTACCTTATATTCCAATACTAAAAATACCCTCCTAAGCTCACCTAACCACAAGCCATGCCACAAAATATCTTATTCCACCCACTAGCCACATGTACACACATATATATGTATATATATCTATGCATATATACACATCAATGCTCTAATTAAATAATTTCATGATAATGGAAAATAATACCAAGACCCACACAACGCGTAAAATGATGTACAAAAAAGTAAATAAAAATAAATACCAAAAAATCTAAAAATATCCAAGACATTACAAGTAAACTCAACATCCTCCATCTTCAATGTTTCTTTTCCATGTAGAATGGTAGTTAAAATGTTACTCGTAAGAAATCGGAAGTGAGGTAAGAAGTAATAGGGCCTTGTCTTATTCCTCAATTTTCACGTCAACTTTTGCAAGTTGATCAATGATACTATGAATATATTCATGTGTTTCAAGAGATTTCTGCCTTCCTCCATCTTCAACTAAGAGATCACGCTTCATATTGAGTTTTGTGGTGAGACACTTCGCTAAATATAGCTTCTCAAGCTTATCCCACAATTTTGGGGTCGAATTCTCTCCATTAACATTGTTAATGATATTATCTCTGATACAGAGCCGAATAATGCTAAGACATCGTAGCTCTATATCTTCCCACTCTTGCGCTGCCATATTTTCTTGCTTTCCATCCTTTCCCTTCAAAGCTCGGTGTAAGCCTTGTTGAAGTATGATGTCCTTCACTCTACTTTGTCATAGAGTGAAGCTATCCTTGCCATGAAACCTCTCCACCTTAAATTGTGAAGCAATATTACCAGCCATGATTGTCACAAGTGCCTAAGACGAACAACACCAATGTTATGATAAAAAATCTAGATCAAGAATTTTTTATCAAACACAAATTGTGTAAGCCTATGGCTTTGATACCAATTAGTAGGAAAATTACTCCCCTTTGATTATGACCCATAAATATAAAAGGTGTGATGATAAAGAAAATAAGCGCAAATTCACAAGACAAGAATTATACGTGGTCCGGCAAAACAAGCCTACGTCCACAGAGAGCCAGATTTCCACTAGAAATCGTAAACCGTACAATATAAAGGATTACAAAGAGATGTCACTCACAAACCCTTATCCCCAATTACTCAGGAGGAAATATTATATTCTAAACAATAACTCTGTTTCACAAAGTGTGCTCTCAAATACAATGAAAGTAAACTCTCAAACAAAGAGTAATTGCCACACACACTCTATTTGCTTACCTTGAATATATTTGACTCCAAACAGTTGCTATTTTTACAAAGGCAGCAGCAATTGGCACAGTAAGCTACAAGAGAATAGGATGGGCTATGAACATGCAACTATAAGATGTATTAATTACATCTACTGTTACAGGGCTGCCAAAATAAGGCTCCAGAATAAGCTATAAAAGTTGACTTTTCATTTGTTGAATTATTAGCCAATAATTCCAACAATAATAAGAACATCTCCAACCCGCCTGCCATATAGGCTGCCAATTCAAAATATAGCAGGTGGGTTAAAATTGGGCTCTCCAATGGGCTGCTATATCACCTGCCAAAATTTGTCTTTGCCATTTTTGGTGCCAAATCTAACAAAACAAATAGCAATAGCTATTTTCTTTTTTGTTGCCTGCCGTCTCTCCTCGCTCTGCCAAAATCTGTAACGACCGTCTCTCTCTCTCTCATCCATCTGCAACGACCGGCCATTATCGACGGCGACCGGTGCTTAAAGGTGACTAACACCACCTCCTGCTTCTGTTGTTTGATTTTTGTATTTTCTCTTCCCATACAAACCTTGATTAGCAATTGTAGAGAGAGAGGGGGGCAAGCTTGAGAGTTGAGAGACAGCGGCTGAAGCTTGCGAACCGCGAACCCGAACTGGAACAGCGAGCTATGGAAACTGAAAGATATGGGTTTTGATTTTTTGAACAATCTGAAATGATACGCCGATATGGGTTTTGATATAGGTAATAGGTTTTTAACATTTGGATTCTTGCAGACAGATAAATAAACTAAAATATATGGGTTTTGAACTTCTAATTCTTGTAGATTTTGTAGTTTGCAATTGTAGAGAGAGAGAGAGAGAGAGAGGGCAAGTTCTCAGAGTTGAGAACGAGAATAGAGATGGAGGCGATGGGGAGGCTGAAATGATTTGCCCTAAAAATATATATATTTTTAATAATAATATAATCAAATATATATAATATACATATATATATATATATATATAAATTTCCGAAAAAGAAAAAAATTATATAAAAAAATTAATTCACAAATAGTGGTAAAAAAATTATAAAAAATTTGTTTGTTTTTTTTTTTTTTGGTCCTTTTTTGATCAGATATTTTAGATTTTTGTTTCTTTTTAATTAGATTTAATTTTACTTTCATTCTAATATTTACAGCTTTACTTGGAATGTGCCTAATATTAATATTACTGATGTAAAAATGAATGGTGAGAATGGTAATTAAAAAAGAATGATGATTGTATTAAAAAATAACATTTTGCATGAAATGTACCATTGGAGCAGAATTGCTAAAATGTAGCATTTTAACACTGTAATACCTGTCAAAATATAGATTTGACATGCGAAAATAACTTTTAGCATTGGAGATCCTCTAAGAGTGTCATGGAGCTTACACTTGAGGTTGCTTGTGTACCAGAGGATATCAAATGTCTTTTGGGTCACCTTACGAAAGAAAAATAAAATAAAAAATAAATTGTCTTCTGGTTCTCTTGCCAATGGGTTGAGCGGGTTTGTAATGTAATGGCTCATAACGTAGTTAAATTTGCTTCGAGTCAAAGACCTACACAACATTTCTTTGATGTTTTCCCATCATGCCCTTCTTGACGTACTCCTCATTTATTTTTTAATGAAGCCCTAATTTGCCAAGAAAATATATATATATACATATATATATATAGTTTTCCTTCAATATGCAGTAAACTCACCGTCCAATGTATCTCATCAATCTTTAATATATAAATACTATCAATAAAAGACTAGCATATACTAATAATGCAAGAAAATATTTAAAAAAAATAAAAGAAGAAAAAAAATCTCCACGAAAAAACTAGTTAAAACAGCTCTTCCCCAATTCAGTTACCCTTCAAAAGTTTCAGTTCACTCACACAAACAGGTTTTATCTTCCCTAAAAATATATATATATATATATACCATTGTAAACACAACAAATTAATAAATAAATTACAAATTCATACAACAAGATCCTGACCGGTGAAAAAGAAATAGTACAACACTTCCTTGGAGGAGGAGGAAATACAGGTATGATAACAAAACATAGAAAGAGCATAACTCAGCTTTCTTTGTCTTCGTGTCATAGCCAAAGCTCCAGAGCCCATAACACCAATATGGTATGCTCCTCTAAAAGTGGTACAATTTTTACTAACACAAATACCTGGGATGCAAATTCCTGAGCAACTGTAAGCTAACGACTGCCAAAGCCGGACATCAAAAAATGTAGCATATGACAACGAATGGTTTAGATATTTTCGAGTAGTCCTTGTAAAGAATTGAAAAACTTGCCAACCAGCAGCATACCTCGTGAGAGATCTCTTTCTTAGTGCAAACCCAACACATTATATTTTCTTAGCTGGATGCAACTGGTTTTGCAATGACCTGCTTTATAGCCTCAGCGTATGTCCTGTGTTGATAGGTAAGAGTGGACTCGAGCAAATCCCATAGTGATGTTTTAGGGTTCCAACCTGGTACCCACAAAACCAAAACTTGAGGGCATTCTTAACCGTCAAAAAGAATAAAATTTTAATCAGGAAAAAAGGTAATACCAAGTTGTCTATTGATTATGGTCATGTCTGGAATTCTCTTGTCACTGTCATCATATCCTTCACCGTAGAATTCTTTTGAGCTTATATCAATGGTGGGTACTTCTAGAGGAGTTTCTCCACTAACCTTTGAGTAAACCTATCAAAATGCAAGAACAAGACCTTATACAAAATAACAACAAACAAGCACCTTTACCAAAATGAAATATAAATAAATTTATTAAAACATATTAAAATTAATCAATTCACCTGTGTCATCATTTCAGCAAGCTGCCTTACTGTAACTTCATTGTCAGGGTTACCCACATTAAATATCTGACCATTTGCCCGGGATGGGTTTTCCTGAGAAAGAATACACCACTCAACCATTGCTTATGTAAGCCAACATGAAACCAAAATGAAGAAAAGGATGTTCACGAACAATCATCAACAGCACAGCTTCAATAGCATCCTTGATATAAATGAATGTTCTCTGTGACTCGCCACCGTCCACAAGCTTGAGTGGTTCACGTCGTAGTAGATTCTGCAGGAGAAAATAGCAATATTGGTATGAAAGATTACACAACTGCAGCACATGAACATGTTTCAAAGCCCCTACAGAAAATTCAACCCACATTACTAAAGCATGCCAGAACCCTTGGAACACCCTCACTGGGACCATCAATTCCGGGGATGAAATCCATCCTAGGACCAATCCAGTTAAAAGGCCTCACAATAGTGAATTCAAGACCATTCTCCGCACCCTCAGCTGTTACAATATAAGAAAGAAAAACATGACATAAGTGCCTATATTAAAGCAGCCAGGTCATATGAACAAGTTCACTCACCATAGACAAGTCTTTCAATCAATTGCTTTGCACAGGCATAGGACCATCTCTGCTTTTCAATAGAGCCGAAAATGCAGGGGGAGGCATCTTCCTTAAGAACATAGTAAGCAGGATCCTATATCATCACAACACAAAACAAAGTTATCATTCCAACAGTAAGACATAGAGAAAGACAAATACCACCATGCCAAATTTCAAGCAATTCATAATTCAATAATTTTATGAATTGAACTATATAGAAGTGAATAGTTCATTTTACATGCAGTCTAACACAACCAGCCCAAACACAATTTGCCTAATCAAAACAAACTAGCAACATTAGCTACTATAATCAAAACAACTTTCTTCTTTTTTATTAAAATCTACACAGCTCCACCACAAATAGTAATAGCTGGTAGTTAAGACATTGTGTTTTCAGAGAACAATACAAGTAATTGGAATTAACGAAAACCCAACCAACTGACCATAACCACAAACACAACTATGAATTTACAATAAAACATTATTGAAAACTAAGTCCCATAAATAAATAAATAAAATTTTGGAGTCCACCAAAAAAATTCCTATTACTGCATTAGTGAGAAGATGAGAACATAAATTGACAAACCATAAATTAATATACACCTTTTCACTTTCTTAAAGGGAATGGAAGTCAAGTAAATTCAAAGTTTTTCATAATCACATCAGGCAGATTTTCAGTGTACTTGATCCACAAAATGGAAAGATCAAACAGTGTCCTATCATTTTTTTCTTATCTAATACGGGTATGACAGAAAATTTACTGCAATATAACATATAAAGAAGCCTATAAGATAGTTATGGTAAGCAGGTGCTAAAACATGGCATTTCATCAAAAAGTGCAAAATGATATTAATTATGCACATATCCTATGGGTTGTTTTGTGCCTTTTCAAAAACAAAATTGTTGCAACGGGTATCATGGTTTGCAACTTGAGAAACTACTGAATTGAATTTGATTTCACAAGAAGTATATATCGGAAGCAAAAGGATGATAGATTGGATGAGCAAGGAAGTAATTACTACATTATCCAAAGCAAGAAAGTAATAAAAGATTTTAATTTATAATCTTTTATAAATACATATTTTCTTCATAATACAGAATTTGAAAATGAAAATAACACGAGTAAGCACAATAAGGGGGCCAAGGGGGAAAAGTTATATTTTGAGCAACAGAAAGTAGAAAAGATATGGCAATTTGAACAAATTTTGGCATCTAGTGTAATAATGCACCTCAAATAAATAAATAAACCATAAGTACACAAAATGGCCAAAGATTCATGCTTCCTTACAGATTTTATTATTTCTTAAATGGATTCAGCTGAACTTAGAGCTAAAAAAAGAAATCCCTATAAAAAAATAATAATAATAATAAAAAGAAAAAAAAAAAAAGAAAAAAAGAAAGAGAAGTTATATTCGACGGAGTATCTGAAAAAATGACACCAGCAACTAAACACAAAAGTGACAAAACATATAATAACAATTTTACCCAAAGAGAAAGAGAGAGAAGAAAACATAGATATTTAAATGGGAAAAAGGCATTGTTGAGTTGAGATCTGAATAATTATACATATAAATTGGTGTTTAAAAGGGATGGGTCACCTGACGCAGAGGGTGATCTTTAGGAAGAAAGCTTCCAACTGTTTTCCCATAGACTTCACAAGTAGAGAAATGAATGAGACGCTTGTTGTTTTCCGAACAGTACTTCACCTAAGTAAGAACACATCAAATCAAACATCAAACATCAAACATCAAAATCGATATCCCCAACAAAAACCCATCCCTATAAAGTGTAGGATCAACCAAAATGCGTTGCTGCTTACCACAGGTAAGGCATCAATGAAATTGCTGTAGATTGTATCAAGAGGACGTGTGTTGTAATCAGCCGGAGTACAGATAGCAGCCAGATTTATAGTCTACATCACAAGAAAACCCATAATAAATCTTCTTCAGCATAATCACGAGTCTTCAAACCACGAAATTATTATCCAATATCAATATCAATAGAATAAGAAATGTGTGAGGGTTTCGAGAAAGAGAGAAATGAGTGCACCAGATCTGCCATCTTGATGAGGCCTTCGAGCCTAGAGTCGTTCTTGATGTTGATGCGGTGGAATTGGATGCGATGGGACCAGGGTAATGACTGGGGTTCGAGGAGGTGCTTGATCTTGTCATTGTAAACGTCCACTGCCAACACCTTGTGTGGCGTCTCAGCCATCAGCTTCTCGCACAGGTGCGACCCTATGAACCCACCCGCACCGATCATGCATATCGTTATCGCCTTTATGGCCTTTCCGTCCAGATCTACCCTCCCACCCTCCGCCGATAACGCCATTTTCTCTCTCTCTCTCTGGAATTCCTCCCTCTTGCTCTGTCTGAAAATTGTCGCTCTCTCTCTCTCCAGATAAACACTGTTGGCGTTAGGAGAAGCAGGATAATTATATTGCGTGGTGAAAACAGGAAGGGAAGGATACATATATACACACATAGATAGATACAGAGTAATGATAATGTGAGGTTGATATCATGGTAGTTTTCGTGAGTTCTTTATTTTTTATTTTTTTAATAATAATTATTGTCCACCTAAAATTTTGGAAGATAATTAGATTGGATTTATGCATTGAACTTGGTAGCAGTGACTTTGAAACAAAAAACAGAAAGTGTTTGAAAAAGAATATATTTTATTTTGTATTTAATAGTGGACAAAATTCGAAATATCAATTTAATATTTTTAAAGCGGTAAAAAAAAAAATTGAAAAACTCATATGAAAATTTTAAAATAATCATTATATTTTTCAAACTTGTAACACTTTTTTTATTAAACATGTTTTTTTTTGTTTTTCCTCCCAAAAATTTAGCAACAAATTAACATTAACAAACATGTTTTGGATTACAATTCAAATAACTTTACAACAAAACACTTATTTTATTTCGGATTAAAATAAAAACGCAAAAACAAAACAGTTACCCAACAAACCCAAGTAAGCAAATTTTATTTTATGATATTTCGAGCTATTACTTTTATAATGAGATAGATTTATGCAATCAGATATATATATCGTGGAGGGAAATTTCCCCACCAATCATAACACACCACGCATCCACATAATAAGAAAGGTCCATCATTAGAATAGCCAGTCCAGAAGCCCAACAAGAAAAGCCTCAAAGTATTCAGATCAACACAAATAAAAGAACGCAGCCCAGAATATGGCCTAAGCCAAGCGCATTCAAACAACCCATAACACCATTCATGAAGAAAATCGCAAGAAATTAGGAACCATGAATGCCCACGTCCAAAACCGCCAATAACGACCCCAAAAAAAACTCTATATGAACATATAAATAAGAGATCAGTGATAAGAGAAGGAATCGATTCCAATTATCAGATTTTCTTCTGCTTAGTTTGTTTCAATTGAGCACTATTTTCTTGTCTATAATTTTTAGTATTTTTGTAAATGTTGTGGTGTAAAAATCTGCACCTACACTTTGGCGTCGTCTGTTAGAAGCTTTACAAAAAGTCTTTCACCATTTCTATGACGGCCCAAGTTTTTCAACCCGGTGCGTCAGTGATGAACCGAAAGATGACCCGATAACGGATCTGAAATACAGAAGCAAAAGGCAAAACAATGGTCTTCAGAGATACTAAATGGCTTTAAGACACCATTATGACCCTCAACGAAGTCACAGAACCCAAAGGAATCAAATGCGGAAGCAACGTTTTCAAAAACGAACAAAAATGAACTTAGGGCAAAAATGTCATTTCTAGCTTAAAAGTGGGTGCCACCGAGCACACCATTGGAAAGAAAACAAAAAATTAATGAATTTAGACTCAAGAATCACTTGATTCGGAGTCCGGATGAAGAAGATATGGCTAACGGAAGAAGAAGGGGCAAAACGGTCAAAAAGTGCCAACCCATGAACATCTAACTGGTTAGGACACCTTCCTAACCGGTTAGGACACCTTCCTAACCGGTTAGAAGGCCAAAAATCTCACCAAAAACACTGCCCATGCACATGTAACCGGTTACTAAACTCCTCGTAACCGTTTACATGTGAAGAGGGCATTAAGGTGCAATCCAAAAACCTGGCAGCAGGGATTTTTTCGGAAAAAATAGAAATTTGAGGGCCTAGATGACATTTTCTGGAAAAACACAAAGAAGAACCCCCCTCAAAATCGAGTTTTCTACATGACACGTGAGGAAAATTGAAAAAATACGCAATGTGAAATGCCCAAATGCCCTCCCAAGAAAACTGATCCAGAGGGTCCAAAAAGCTGCTAAATTTAAAAACTGAGAGCTGAAGTTCGGGATTGATTTCGGATGCCAAGACGACATTTCCCGAAAAAACACGAAGAAGAAATCCCACCTAAAATCACATTTTCTATTCAACCATATGAAGAACGGAATTTATTTCCCAAAGGAGATTCCCAAAATACCCTTAGGTCAGAATGTGCAACAAAAATGTAAAATGAGTCTGTAGGAGGCTCATTTCACCAAAGAAGAAACTTTACCCGGAAACGACTAGCACGCAAACGTAACTTACCTAATAAGATGTGCTACAATGGTCCGTGGCTCAAAAATATGGCCGAAACAAAATATGACCCCCCAACAGCCAAAATGCCAAAAATGAAGTTTGGAATGAAAACTTGAAACCTAAAATCATGAAATGGTTTCGAAATGCCGTTTGGCCCTTGGCCACACTTCATGCATGTTAAAGGAATGCTAATGGAAGAAGTTCATACACAATGCACGCTCCGGTGCAAAATAGCATACTAAAACGTATGATTTTTCATATGTTTTCATCGAAGGCAAAAATTAACATCCTTGACATAAATGTAATTTCAAAAGGAGTTTAGCCATTGGCCTCATGTCATATACATAAAATGAGAATCAAAACGTGTGTTTAGGCACACATTACAAGTCTAGAAGCAAATATACACATTTGACATATAAGGTTACAAATGGCCTTTCAAGCCAACCTTCACAAGAATTGAACCCTTCAAGTTCCCAAATCATCCAAGCATGGTGAGAATCTCTAACCTTGAATCCTGTACCTGAAATATGCCCCAGTATCGTAGGGGTGAGTAACATAAAGCTACTCGTAGGAAATGAGCATGCATCAACCTACGTTTTACAAGTTTGCATGATTAATTATTGTGGTTCATTCCACCTAAAGTCTATGTCAAAGGTGAGACTCAAGGAACATCCTAGCTACCTAAGATCATTTCTAGCATCAACCACCTCATTCATGCAATTTTAGCAACATAGGGTCATGCTTACACAAAGCAACAACATAGGAGCATGCTTACACAAAGCAATAAACATAGATTCTCAAAGTCATCAATTTGAAATCTAAAGAACGAAAACGACATAAGTGATCATGCCACCTAACGTCTATATTCCAAATGAATCTATAGAATCATTCCTACTTTACATTTGAACAACATAACATGAATGTACTTGACAACATCAAAAGCTTATAATGATTCATTAAAATCATAAAACAAGAATGTACTTAACAACATTAAAAGCTCACAATGATTTATTAAAAATCATGAACATGAATGTACTTAACAACATTAAAATGATTTATTAAAATCATAAAATATGGATGTACTTGGCAACATCAAAATCTACAAAGATCATAAAGCATGGATGTACTTAACAACATCAAAATCGCCGATAGCCAAAACCACAAGTCACAATATAAACATGATTGCTAACTTGGAATTGAATGCGAAAATAAATAATGGAAGACTTGGACATCTAGACTCGGAATTCTGCCGAGATCAATGGTTGTTCCGGGCACTAACCCGCAGGGAAAACCACCCTAAGTGCGCACTATCTCAATTGGGGAGAACTCATACCTCCCGCACTAAAACTGAATTTTAGCCATATCATAGTAACCATGTCCCAAGTGACTCCAAAATAAATAAGTTAACAACTTATATATATACGAAACCACATCCCATGCATAAGTAGTTTGTAACCACACTATACATGCTCTAAATCTATAACTACTATAGGATGAAAAATGTCGAATCTTCAGAGTGCGATTCCTTATGCGCTATAATAATATCACATGTCGAATCTTCAGTGTCTGATTCGTTACACTCTATAACAAGATAATCCAATATTGAAACGTAATCTCATAAATTCATTACAAGTCTAAAATCATGCTTTAGATATACAATCAACGTCAAACACATGATTTAAATCCATAATGCAATAGAAACGGAATTTTATCAAGTAACTAATTAATTCCTCTAAGTTGCAATTCTCAACCAAATGGCCTCAAATTACATATGTTAAACAACATAGCATGGTCATTGCATATACCAATTCCAATACTTGATTAGGCCAATTGAATAACAAAATGAATTTTAATTAAATCATGATAATCAAATCCCTAAATTCTAAAACAACTTAAAATGGTCCCATATTAACATATACTAATATACAAGTCCTAATCATCTCAAATATCAAGTCAAAACTTAATTAAGCTAAAGAAACCATTAAATAGATTTTAATTAATCATTTTAATTAAAGTCTCTAGATTTTCATACTTATCCAAATGCTCTCAAATTTAAGTATGTTAAATAACATGCCTAGACTTAATTTAAAAGCATGCTATAAGTCAATTTCATGCAAGGTACATCCATAAAAATTTAATCTTATACAAAGAATTAAATATTACTAATTTTCTAGATTTGATACAAGTCATGCAATCAAGTTGTATAATCATGAAAAACACCCCATACAACACATACAAAATCCTAAAACATCCCCTACCTCATTTTGAGATGAAAATCTCAAAAGCCATCAAAATAGAACGGCTCTGAATCCGACGAAACTACTAGGTTTTGTCAGGGACAACGCCGTGAACAAAAACCCCATGAAAGCCCCATCAAAATCACAACTTGACCTCAAAAACAAACTTAAAATTTGGCTAGAAATGGGTTCTAATAAGGGTAAAAGAAGTGCGTAGTCAACACGAACACAAAACACAAAGGCCTTACTATGTTCTGACAAAGGAATGAAGCTCAAACGAGGAGAGAGAAGGTGGCAGCCTCCCTTGGGCTGCCATGGAAGCTTCAAGTCATGCAAGAGAGTGGGGAAGATGAAAAAAATAAAATATCTCACCCCCCTTTTATAGAAATCTCAAAAAGTGCCCCGAACGGGCCTTGCCGGGTCCGAAAAAGTGAAATTTGAGCAGACGAGCTCAAATGGCAAAACTCTATGAATAGAAAAGATTCAAAATGAGAAAATATGAATAACAGAAGAAACGGCGTCAAAAACTGAGTCCCGAGTAAAAAGTTATGCCCAAAACAAGTTTGCGCAAACCGGGGCTAGAAACCCTGAAAATGGAAAACATCGGCGAGGAGGAATTCCAAGAGTACACAACTTGATGAAATGTGAAAATGAATCTCGTATGAGGATCTAGACTCAAAACAAGACAT